AAGGCCATACGGACTTTCATGAAAATGGCCTCCAGCGGGGATGATTGTAGGGAAGGTGAAAATAACATTTGATTCTCATAGGAACAGGTATTTCATTAATGAATATTTTGGGAGCCTAAAGATAGTACCTACACATACTAAATAACGTGCTTTATGAGACTCAGATTTCAGCTGGCAACACATTGCAAATCATCATTGGCCTACCAAACAGCTGAGATGTTTCAAAAAGGCAACACAGGCCTCTAAAGAACAGAATTAGCATTCAGAGAAAGCGATTTGTTTGTTCACAGGCTTCCCCTGGATTTTCAGATTTACATACCTCTCACACTAGAGAGGTGCAGGCAATTCTGCATCTCACTTCTTCTGAGTCAGGAATTTTATGGAACCTTTCCGCTTTCTCCAGGAAAAGTATACAAAGCCAAGCGGATTATTTTCAAACTTTGCCAGGCCAAAAGTATGGTCTCATCTTTCTTTCTGCAGGCACAGCATCAGATTTTAGAGCACGAGCAAAGGCTGAAGAATGGCAGTCTTAGAATGAAGAAGAATGAAGAATATCAGAAGAAGAACAAATTTAAAAAAAAAGGAGGTTGTTACTTCAGCATTCTAGGCCTGAAAGTCATTTCTCTTTCACTTTCCTTCACATACGCCCTGACTCTAGACTTGTACTTGCAGAAAAAATTCCCACTGAAGACGTGAGGAATACCAGAACCAGAACCAAAAAAGAGAACTAATTTAAAGCCTGACTCATAGGATGTTAATATCCAAGAGAAGATTACTCAAAGTCTGATGGGGAAAAGGCACGCTTGTTTCTTTTGCTGGGTATTGGTAATGGAACAGTGCCTCCCATCCTCACTTTTGACTCTCCACTCAACATGTGAGAAGTAGACTGCAATCAGGGGAAGGAACAGATGTGTCAAGGACAAAAGCCCAAAAAAGGTTGAGTCTGAAGAACTAGAGTCACAAGAACCAACCCATACAGCTGAACCCTGAGTTCTTACCAGTGGAGAATCAAAAAGCAAATGGAACTGCACAGAAGTGAGAATGTGATACAGCAGCTCATGAGAAGAAGAGTTCCTAACTGTTGTGGACAGGACACTAACAGAAATAGGAAAAAAAAGTACAAAACACAATTTAATATGACTGTGGGCAGACAAAAGATGACAAAACATCTTTTTCTTGTGCTTCCAAACTGCTTAGTCCTTCTCTACTTCAGCACAGTTACAAGAGATTTCCACAATTTGCTGCATCTGTAAGTAATTCCAGCTCTCTACCATGTGACATCCGCTTTAGCCATTCTTAGGGGAAAAGGGAAAGGCCATTTTCATCACTACCAACTGCACTTTTCCATACACTGAACCTATACAGAGACCAAAGAATAGACCAATTCCAATGGGCACTACTGATACAGAGGTCCCCAGTCTCGGTAAGGTTTACAGCACCATGTCATCTTCAAGACCTCCCTACCAAAACCTTTCTGCAGTAAAAAGTTAAATAAATGCTGCCATGGCCAGAAAGCATATGGCAGAACAAGCCATGGGGATGTTGCTCACTGGGCTCCTTTTTTTTGCTCTGTAAAGTTACGTAGGACACACACAGACTGACTGAAATCTGAAAGAGACTTGGTGGCAAAGGTGTTGGATGCCCCTTGGGGATCCAAGTTCACGCTGCACTTTGGATCATTACCAACGTAGCTTGAGGTGCTGCTCTGAATTCTGCAGCTTGAAGTCACAAAGTACTTTGAGAATGGGAAACCAAATGTGAAACAAAACCTCAGACCTTGCCCTTGAGACTACTGATGGGAACACAGGCACATCTTCTCATAGAATGGTTTGGGTTGGAAGGGACCTTAAAGATCATCTCGTATCAGCCTCCTGCCCTGGGCAGGGACACCTCCCACCAGACCAGGTTGCTCCAAGCCCCATCCAGCCTGGCCTTGAACCCCTCCAGGGACGGGGCAGCTACAGCTTCTCTGGGCAACCTGGGCCAGTGTCTCACCACCTGCACAGGAAAGAATTTCTTCCTGAGATCTCATCTCAATCTCCCCTCTTTCAGTTTAAAACTGTTACTCCACTCAACATGTGAGAAGTAGACTGCAATCAGGGGAAGGAACAGATGTGTCAAGGACAAAAGCCCAAAAAAGGTTGAGTCTGAAGAACTAGAGTCACAAGAACCAACCCATACAGCTGAACCCTGAGTTCTTACCAGTGGAGAATCAAAAAGCAAATGGAACTGCACAGAAGTGAGAATGTGATACAGCAGCTCATGAGAAGAAGAGTTCCTAACTGTTGTGGACAGGACACTAACAGAAATAGGAAAAAAAAGTACAAAACACAATTTAATATGACTGTGGGCAGACAAAAGATGACAAAACATCTTTTTCTTGTGCTTCCAAACTGCTTAGTCCTTCTCTACTTCAGCACAGTTACAAGAGATTTCCACAATTTGCTGCATCTGTAAGTAATTCCAGCTCTCTACCATGTGACATCCGCTTTAGCCATTCTTAGGGGAAAAGGGAAAGGCCATTTTCATCACTACCAACTGCACTTTTCCATACACTGAACCTATACAGAGACCAAAGAATAGACCAATTCCAATGGGCACTACTGATACAGAGGTCCCCAGTCTCGGTAAGGTTTACAGCACCATGTCATCTTCAAGACCTCCCTACCAAAACCTTTCTGCAGTAAAAAGTTAAATAAATGCTGCCATGGCCAGAAAGCAGATGGCAGAACAAGCCATGGGGATGTTGCTCACTGGGCTCCTTTTTTTTGCTCTGTAAAGTTACGTAGGACACACACAGACTGACTGAAATCTGAAAGAGACTTGGTGGCAAAGGTGTTGGATGCCCCTTGGGGATCCAAGTTCACGCTGCACTTTGGATCATTACCAACGTAGCTTGAGGTGCTGCTCTGAATTCTGCAGCTTGAAGTCACAAAGTACTTTGAGAATGGGAAACCAAATGTGAAACAAAACCTCAGACCTTGCCCTTGAGACTACTGATGGGAACACAGGTACATCTTATCACAGAATCATAGAATGGTTGGGGTTGAAAGGGACCCACCAGACCAGGTTGCTCCAAGCCCCATCCAGCCTGGCCTTGAACCCCTCCAGGGACGGGGCAGCTACAGCTTCTCTGGGCAACCTGGGCCAGGCTCTCACCACCTGCACAGGAAAGAATTTCTTCCTGAGATCTCATCTCAATCTCCCCTCTTTCAGTTTAAAACTGTTACCCCTCGTCCTGTCACTCCACTCCCTCATCAAAAGTCCCTCCCCACCTCTCTTGGAACCCCTTTAGGGATTGGGAGGCTGAATGGTACTCATGACTGGTCAGTACTGGTAAAAGCAATAGTGAGAAGAGCAAGGAAAAGAATAGCATGTAAACTGTAAAGCTCAGAGCTTCAGTCTTAATTTTTTATCAAGCCTTGCACAACACCATCACAGATCAAAGCTGCAGCAGACCACCCAACCTATATAGGTAAAATCTTGGCACATTATGCATATGATTTAATCAAGGAACCTTGCTTTCTCTCTTGAAGGTGGTTTTTTTTTTATGGAACAGGCTAACAACACTGCACTTAGGAATCACTTGGGAATCTGACAGGGTGCTGGCTTCACTTAAGCAAACTGCAGGAGCACATTTCTAAAACACACAAGCCAAGGAAGGGCATGGTAGGCTGCCATTCCCTCAGACATTACAACAAAGTTTATTTATGCAGAATCAAAGGAGACGTCAGTGGAGAGCACAGCAATGAAAACGATGACTGAGCTTGACTTCTGACCTCTCTGTTTTTTCTGTCTCTGACCTTTCCACTTAACCAAACTTCAAACTGCTTATAGTATGACAACAGGTCTTCACCCTGCAATGTTTTGAGTGCGTTCAGCATTTCGGGGTGCTGCTGGGATGTACTTATACGATCAAATCCAGATTTAGGTAACATCTGCGATAGAAAGATGTCCAAACTGTTAGTCATTAGCTGCTAAAAAGGAGGAGTTGTTATTACTGTTATCCCCTTTTTATGTCCAGCTGCCGGTGTCCTGTTTCCCAAACCTGTTAACCATCTGTTGTCATATGAGGAACTCTGTGACTTTAAGCAGATATTATGGTGCTGACACAACTTGTCTGTGCTTTCAAAACAGTGGGAATGCCTTAATTAGTAGGTTAAAAAAAAAAGATTTTGCCTGCCCAACCTATGTTTAAAATTAGAGCTCCACAGCGTGCACACATTCAGAGTTGGAACACAGAAGAGCAAACACGCTGCTTTGGGCAGTAGTGCCAAGTATGAAATCACAGCGAATGAATAACCTTATCATACCTGCAGGAACAGACAATTCACACAATGAGTATTTGCCAATAAAAGGGAAAGGTACCTGCCATAAATATAACACTGTGAGCACACAGAAATCCTACATACTGAAGAAACATTTAAAAGCAGCGTTGTATTTGATGGAAAAATAGAAGTATTAAGTGCACGCCAACATTATGCAGTAAGTAAAACACAGTGCATCAGATGAATGACTTCGCAAACACAGTTTTACCACATTGTCCCTGAAAGTATTACATGTGAAAGAAATCAGAAATGGTCACTGGCTCCCTTTTTGCATACATCAGGGCGATGGCTTTCAGTGTACTCCACAAAAGCAATGGGACTATTAACGATTAGCACTTTAAACACATGGGATCACATGTTGTGACCACATACTGTTCCTCAGGCCAGCAAGCACTTAGCTCATAACTTCATTTACTTGGGTGCCAGAAGCTTTATTGGGGCTACTCACAGAAATGAAAATTTCAACAGGGAAAGTAAAAGGTTCAGAGCCCAGTATTTAACTTTTGCTTGCTTAAGTTAATGCAACTTTAAAAAAAAAAATAAGGAAAGAACATTTTAGTAAGCAATAATAGTTAAAAATCATTTGCCAACTGAACTCTCACAATTTGTTTAAGAAAATGAAATCACTGACGTAGGGTTTGTTTCCCTCTGAAATAAACAAAGTTCACTTACCATATATTCCATGTTGGAAGCAGGTGGGAAGACTTTGCCTCTGACTTGATTATGATAATCAAGAATAGCAATCATGTCATTCTGTGAAATGTAGCGCTTCCGCCTGGCTTTGGGAATTTTTGCAGAGTCCAGATGAGCTGCCAAAGCTGTCTCAATGTCAGTGAAATTATTGTCTGACAGGAGTAGGTCAGTGGAGTTGGGTAACACTAATGCACTTGTTTCACAGAGAATGGAAAATAGGAAAGCACAGCTGATTGCAGTGATTACTGTCATTTTGGGGGCCAAAAGGAGAAAGATGGGCCACAGAGGTGCTCTGCTTTAAGTCAGGACAGTAGAGAACAGATCTGTAGGAGAGAAGATGTCAAAGATGTGATTCTGTACATCCGGGTAGCAAGGCAAAGTGAGGTTGTAGGCTGTGACCAGAAACATGATTTCTGTCTCTCAGCCCAATCATAAGAACAATCCAGCCAGAACATGTTACTGAGCAATTTTCCATAACCATATTATCATTCAGTGATATGTTCTTACTACAAACACACCAAATCAAATACCATTATCCCATGAATTACATGATGAGAGCTAGTAAGATTCCTGAAATAGTGACAGCGCTATCACACCAGTCAGTCCATAAAACCACACTATAAATCTTAAATGGGAGGCTGCAAGAAACCTCGGGGAATGCTTTCCACTGAAAATGAAAAATACATCCCAGGCTATGCCTATCCTATATGCATGGATTGTTCTGACACAATGTGGCACAGATAAACTAGTAAGTAGGCAAAAGAAAACATATAAAAAAGCATGAGAGCAGGACATCTCAGAAACAGCATTCAAATCTTAACTTCAGCAAAATGTGATGAACATTGATAAAACTGCATGCAAAGCAAACTTATTGAGCTGAATGGCTTACCTCTGGATAATACCAAGAAAAGAAAAAAAAAAAGAAGAATACAGTCTATTGTTCTCCCAGTATATATAGCACTCTCCTATATGATGATGTGAACCTTTGTGAAGGAGTGTCTCTTATTACAAACCCCCAAAGAACAAAACTCTGCTGCTTTTGAAGCTTCTGGCCCCAGGAGCTGCTCACAGCTTTTATATCTTGCAGTCTGTATGAGCCAGAGCAGGCAGTTTCTCTGAAGGTCTCTGCTCAGCCAAAAGGAGAGGGGAGGAGCTGCGCAGAGCACTCAGGCAGCGATTGGAGCATCCCGGGGTGTAGGTGGTTTGGATCTTCAGTCACACCCCCAGTTTCTATAGTACAAAGAGGCAACATGCAAGACTCTTTTCTTTTTTCTTTTTTTTTTTCTTCTGGTACTTCCTACCTTTTTTTTTTTTTTTCCCTCCATGTTTGGTTTTGGTTTTTTTTTTTTCTTTCCCTCTCATTTCACGAGCACCGTGCTGACTTGGCAACCGTTATTGCACGCAGCTCTTGGGGCACCCACAGGAGCCACGTGAGGAGACTTTCCAAACCCCTGTCACCCCAGGTCACAGGAGAAGGAACCTATGCCATGCCATCCCCCCTGTCTTGTCCCCGGTGTGTCCCCCCCAGGACCGTGGCTGGCAGCAGGAGGGCAGGCAGGAGACAGCCACCGCTCCATTCACCACCGGCCACAGGGGATGCTCGGGGGGTACCACTCCTCCCCGCTCCCCCTCCACCCTCCTCCCTCCCCATCACCCTCAGAGGCACAGGCAGAACCCAAGGCAGGTCGTGGGCAACCCACAGGAGTTACCTGAAAGTCCACTCGTGAGAAAATTAGGGGAGCAGCCGGACTGAAAGCTCCCGCCGGTGCCTGGGAGACATCTGTTTCTCATTATCCAGCATATAGCTGGGATTATTTAAGGCACAGAATGGTCCAGCCACTCACGCAGCAGAGCTGAGGGCATAACGCTGAGGCCACGGCCAAAGCCAGCAGAGAGAAGCAGCCCCAGCCAGCAATTGTGTACTGGGGACAAGGGGATGGGGAGCAACACAATGTCAGGCCGGTCCCCCACCAGGGCTGAGCGACCTGGGGCAACCCGTAAAAATGAGATGCTTTAAAAACTGTAATTGCGATATTTTGCAACGTCATAAAAGGGAGGGGAGGCGGGGGGGGAGAATTGATATTACACCCAAACTTATGGAGGGCTCAGAAGTTCCAGTAGCTCCATCAGAGAAGCAATATGGGAATTAAGGAAGCGAGGTCCGGTAGTGAGAGCACGGGGCTGGCAGCCAACGCTCACGCTCTCCTCTTGGCTCTGCCGCTGGCTCCCTGTGTGGCCTCACCCCAGCCATTTAATCTCTGCCTGCAATCTCTACAATGGCATAATAGTCTCTCGCAGACATGTTGTAAGGCTCAAATGACTCGGTAATGTGCTTTGTGTTGAAAGGTGTTAAGGGAGTACACAGTATCATCACCAGTTGTATTACCCTACGTACACCCCAGCCCGGCCAACACTGCTGCTGGCAGTGCAGCTGCAGGTATTCCTTTACGTGATCCTACATGAAACTTTCACAGAATCACAGAATCTTCTAGGTTGGAAGGGACCTTAAAAATCATCTTGTCCAACCGTCAACCCAACTGACAAAAATAGACACCCACACAACAAACAAGACGTATCACCATCACTAAACCAGACCTCCCAGCACTACATCAACCCGTCTTTTGAACACCTCCAGGGATGGGGCCTCAACCCCCTCCCTGGGCAGCCCATTCCAATGTCTGAGAACCCTTTCAGTGAAAAAATTTTTCCTAATATCCAGCCTGAACCTCCCCTGGCGTAACTTGAGGCCATTTCCTCTTGTCCTGTCGCCTGTGACTTGAGAAAAGAGACCGACCCCCCCCTCTCTACACCCTCCTTTCAGGGAGTTGGAGAGAGCAATAAGGTCTCCCTTCAGCCTCCTCTTCTCCAGGCTGAATAACCCCAGCTCCCTCAGCCTCTCCTCATAAGGCTTATTCTCCAGACCCCTCCCCATCTTTGTTGCCCTTCTCTGGACCCACTCCAGCACCTCAATATCTTTTTTATGGTGGGGGGCCCAAAACTGGACACAGTACTCAAAGTGAGGCCTCACCAGTGCCGAGTACAGGGGGACAATCACCTCTCGGGCCCTACTCGCCTTTAACACATCATTTGTCTCTGCGGGGCTGGATGTTGGATGATTCGCTTAATCCAACTTTCTTTCTTCTGAAATGAAGCGCGTGCTTGTTTATGTTAACCTCAGGAAGTGTCCTCCCATTGTCTGAGCACAAGGGGAAGAATCCTCAGCTCCTTTGAATTGCCGCAGGTCCTTTGATTTCATCGGAGCTGCAGTAAGTTATCCAAGGGAAGACACCAGTTTAGCATCTCAGGAAGTTCAGAGGGTAGATTTCACTGGTTAGTCACAGTTTGGGTTGGTATTATTATTTCCTCACACTCAACCTGTGGCAGTACTTGGAGGCTGTTTTGAGACAGGGCTTTACCAGAACAGGGAGGATGTAAATGGACATGTAAAATAGCCATTGTAAAATAGCCATGACGTCCGCAGCTGTAACATTGAGCTGTTCTTCTCTAAGAACAGTCCAGTGTATGAGATGACTTTTATTTCCATCGCTTGTGGTTATGGCCTAATTATTTGTTTCCATGCCTAACAGGCAATCAGTGTAACTACTCATCTAAACGTAGGGAAAAAAAAAAAAGATTATGAGCAATACTAACAAGCACAATAGCAAGAAGTCAATTGTGAACATGAAAGACCCTAGGGCACAAGAATGCCTTGACCCAGGCCTCTTGTAATCAGAATCACAGAATCACAGAATCTTCTAGGTTGGAAGGGACCTTAAAGATCATCTTGTCCAACCGTCAACCTAACTGACAAAAATAGACACCCACACAACAAACAAGGAGCATCATCACTAACCCATACCTCCCAGCACTACATCAACCTGTCTTTTGAACACCTCCAGGGATGGGGCCTCAACCACCTCCCTGGGCAGCCCATTCCAGTGTCTGATAACCCTTTCAGTGAAAAAATTTTTCCTAATATCCAGCCTGAACCTCCCCTGGCGCAACTTGAGGCCATTTCCTCTTGTCCTGGCGCCTGTGACTTGAGAGAAGAGACCGACCCCCACCTCTCTAAACCCTTCTTTCAGGTAATGATAAATTCTCAAATACCTAATAGTGAAAATATAATAGTAACTCTCAGGCTTGACAACTAAGGTACCTTACACATTCACATACCTCTGTGCATTCAGTTTTCTCCTGAAAGAAACGAGTCAGTGACCAGACACGCACTGAAAATTAGGAAGCAAAACTAATGGAGCCACACTAAAGTCCTCATGAAGGTCTGTGCCAAGGGGAGGAATGGATAAAATGAGGAAGAACATAGAAAAAAAGCATCAAAGATGTCTGCAAGCTTGTGAGGAGAAAAATGAAAAAGTGGATGGAACCATCTGCAATATACACAAAAAGAACTATTTCCCGACTCTTCAACCCACTCAGAAAAGACAAAGAGAGAACAATCAGACCAGTGACAAAAGACGGTTACAGGCCAGAGAGAGACATTAGTGAGACCATGGAATGAGTCAAAATATCTGTAAACCTAATTAAGAACAGAATGTGCCAGCCGAGGCTGCCACAACACGGTTACTGAGCAGCCCGAGAAAAAAAAAAAAAGGCAATAATTCTTGTACTTAATGTCGGCAAATGTTACCAATGAAGGAAGTTATACAATCAGGAATGAGAAAGAATGCAGAAGAAATGAAGAAAGAAAAATAACTCAGTTTATCTACTGAAAGACTCCCTCTGTTCTAGGAAATGGACTGTATTTTAAGGTTTGACTAGAAATTATCTACTTTTTCACTGAAACACTGTTCACACATAGAAAAAAAAAGCAGAAACGGCAATACAATATATAAGCATAAAATCTATTTTACCTGGGAAGGAGGATGTACAGAGGCATGGGTCAAAGAGAACAGGATATAGGTTTATGAAATGCACCATCTTTGTCTTCATTGTGCAATAAAAGTGATGACTCACAAAACGTTTGGTTCTTCTGCAAGCTTAGATTACAAATTAAAGTTCTGACCTTCTAATCATCCATTACTCAACAAAGTAGTGTGAGCTTTATCATTTTGACTGACATTTATTTTAGTAAGTGAATTATGACTGTATAATAACTGAATTGTCATCATTGAAGAACAACATATTTAGACCAAATTAATTTTATGCTGGTTGCTAACATTAGACAATTAAACTTGAAACATTTAGTATATTTTTTTTTCCTTAACTACCTTAGAAATATTTTTCTTTTTATTCCTAACTGCCTGTCTGAGATTCCAGATACTTTTGACATTATAAATGTAATGCCAGACAATTCATTCATAGAATTAAAACACAAAGTGCATTTTTTTTTCCTGTTCCGTATCTCCAGGCATAGTCAAGATCAAAAAGTCTCACACATTCAAGTTTAGGCCTTGCATTTTTCATACTTCATCATACTGATACCCATCACCCAGAGGCAATGAAGCACTGGGAAGCTCAGTAGTGTGACTATGGTTACTCAAGAATCACGTGGAGAGCGGTGCTTTGACCTGAGCTCTGCCAAGTCCTAGACTACAGATCTACATACCTCTGGATCATCCTGGAAAAGAAGACAAGTTTTCTACTGTATCTCAAGGGAAAAAAAAAAAAAAAAAAAAGTAGGGCTTTTTAGCACAGGTGAAGGGAGAATAAGAAATGGAAATTCCTCACTCGAGAATGCCATGGCATTATCTACTTCCTTCTGGCAGAACAGTAACAGAAATGGCATCAATTACAGCAGTGCCACGGATGAAGTCTCAAATCACAAGCCAACTAGGCCCATAGCAGTAGTTTTCAGTTGAGGATTGTAACAACCAACGATAGGTGTCCAAAGAGCTATCTAAGCTCCTGAAAAATCATAGAATGGTTTGGGTTGGAGGGGACCTTAAAGATCACCAAGTTCCAGCCCAGGAACCTGAGATGGCTGGGCATCAGAAATGTCTGCTTCAGAGTTATGACATGGGACTGCGCCTTTTTGAAGTACAAAAGGTGACCAGATGAGGACATCTCAAGTTTCAGGAGACACCCATCGTGACAGGTTGCTTGAACAACTCTTTCAACA